TCAAATCTCAACAATCGAAAACGTAGATTTATGAAAAAAAAAAAAAGAGTATCTCTCAATGTATTTTTAAATTCGAAAATCTCAACAAATTTATAATTGTTAAACATCCGAAATATTTAGTCTTAACATATCAAATTAAAAAAAACAAGGATATAAAATTTTTTGGGAACTTCAAATTCCTAACTTTTTTTACCATTTTTTTTTTAAATCAGATATTTAAGAGATAAATACATAATATTATTGGATATTTTTTATTGGTTTCGTTTTTTTATCTGATAAACAGAAAGAATCCGCTTTTTGAGGAGAATTAATTAAAATTGTTAGTTAAAGTTGTGTGAGTGGATGAATAGTGAATTAAAGTTGATATAATATGTAAAAATAATTGATTGTATTATTTAATGACTAGTAGTTATTATTTAATTATATTGATAATATTGAAGATAAAATCTTTTACAAAATACACCCGTAAAAGCCTTGTTGAAATCCTATGTCCAGAATCTCCAGATCCAGTTAATGATGGTAATGATTTTGATTCAAGCTCCCTGTGTCAATGGCTTTGGCAGGTAGGAAACTTTCTGCATTACATAAGCCGTTTCGTATCAGGCTTCGCCATAGGGTTCATCAGAGTTTGGCAAATCAGCTTGGTAACGCTCTCTATTGTGCCATTGATTGCTCTTGCTGGCGGCATTTACGCTTATGTAGCCACTGACCTTATTGCCAGAGTCCGAAAATCTTACATCAAAGCCGGAGAAATTGCCGAAGAGGTATCTGAACACATTGTTACAGTTTTTCATTTGATAGTGACATCGAATTCAATATTACTATTTTTTTTTCTCTGTGTCGCTCTGTGATTTTTTGGATTTTGTTATGCATGGAATTTGGTTTTATGTGAAGGATTTGGATGTTTTGTGTGTTGGTTTTTACTGTTTTGTTGCCGATATAAGGTGATTGGCAACGTGAGAACCGTGCAAGCATTTGCAGGAGAAGAGAAGGCAGTCAAATTATACACAACATCGCTATTGAGTACTTATAAATATGGGAGAAAAGCAGGGCTGGCAAAGGGTTTTGGACTCGGAGCCTTGCATTGTGTTCTCTTCCTTTCATGGGCATTGCTCGTTTGGTTCAACAGCATTGTTGTTCACAAGAATATTGCCAGTGGAGGAGAGTCCTTTACCACGATGCTCAATGTTGTTATTGCTGGCCTGTAAGCTTCTCTTTTCTCATCCCTAAAAAATCGTGTCACATTTGTAGCTTGGGTGTAAAATGTAAATACATATCATGAAACTATTGGGTCTGTTGATATACAGAACTACATAAATAGCTTCCATCATGCATACTTATATATTTGGTTGAACTTGGGTGTGTAGATAGTAAAAAGTTGCGTTAGTTTACCGTAGCAATAAGGAATCGACACCAATCTGCTTGGTCATTACAGACGTTGACAAATAATGCTACTTTCTTCTTGGATGCGAAGTACTGTTTTTTACTTAAACATATGTAGGCATTTCAACTGGAACATCCATACCATGATATTAGATCAACCTATCTCCATATATTCACATAGTCTCCATACATTTCTAGACTTCACGAGAAATAACTGTTTATTATTTTGCTCCTTCAACTATTAACCATGCAATCTGTATTTTCCAATAAGGTCACTCGGGCTGTCTGCGCCAGATGTCACAGCATTTATTCGAGCAAAAGCGGCTGCATACCCCATTTTTCAGATGATTGAAAGGAACACAATCAGTAAAACTAGTTCGGAAAATGGAAGGAGACTGAGTAAAGTAGATGGTCACATCCAGTTCAAGAACGTGACATTTAGCTACCCTTCTCGTCCGGATGTGTTGATTTTCAACAAGCTCTGTCTCGATATTTCTCCCGGAAAAATTGTTGCGCTTGTCGGAGGAAGTGGTTCGGGCAAGAGCACAGTCATATCTCTCATAGAACGTTTCTATGAGCCGATATCGGGACATATACTGTTAGATGGAACTGATATAAGAGAGCTTGATCTCAAGTGGTTCAGACAGCAGATAGGTTTGGTGAACCAAGAGCCTGCCCTGTTTGCCACTACCATCAGGGATAATATTCTTTACGGGAAAAATGATGGTACTACTGAGGAAATCATGCGGGCAGCAAAACTTTCAGAGGCAATCAACTTTATAAGTAACCTTCCGGATAGATTCGAAACTCAGGTACTTATTCCTTAACTGCGAAAAACATGGTCAGATAATTATTTCCCTACAAACTGATTGTACTGTGCAGGTGGGGGAGAGAGGAATACAGCTGTCGGGTGGACAGAAACAAAGAATTGCAATTTCACGTGCAATAGTTAAAAATCCGTCAATCTTGTTACTGGATGAGGCTACGAGTGCACTTGATGCTGAGTCAGAAAAGAGTGTGCAAGAGGCTCTCGACCGTGTAATGGTGGGGAGAACAACTGTTATCGTGGCTCATCGTCTTTCCACTATTAGAAATGCAGATGTGATAGCTGTTGTGCAAAATGGGAGCATAGTAGAAACCGGAAGCCATGAAGAGCTCATTTCAAGGCCAAACAGTGCCTATGCGTCGCTTGTTCAACTCCAAGAAGCCGCTTTCCTTCATCGGCTGCCATCTCATGGTTCTGCGATGGATCAATCACTAAGGTATATGACATTGTTGTTGTGGATGAGTGCTCGGATGTGTAAGTTGCTGATCATTTTTGGTGATTTGTTCACTGATTTAGTAAAATCTTTATTTCCCATGTCACTAATTGAAATGAGGCTTTGTGCTTAGTTGTTGACAGTCGCTTGGATTAATTTCTCTATATGTTGGACTAGGCTTATTTTAGCAACTGGCCTTAGGAAGATTGTAGGATGATGGAGGATAGAACGGTTATCTAGGATGAAAAGGGAAAACATGAAGCAACAACGGAATTTCATCATGTAATTGTAGTACGAGTATCACAGTTATGAACTGAATCTTGTGACTAGTTTTGCGTGTCCCCTGTCAAGCAAGAAAGTAATGCATAATGATGCTTGAATCAAGAACCACTACTTTCATAAACACCCCAGTTCCTAGAAACTCTTTAAACACTTGAAATGAATGAGTTTGCTAATGGAAAATCTTCCAGTTTGATAATGAATCTGCTGACGATAATTCTTACGCTGTGAGAAATTGGGATATCATGATCTCTTACTATTCAGTGTTACTTGGTGGAGAGAGAAGTACCTCTTGGTCATTAGGAAATAGTTGGAAATAATAGTATCTGATAATATAAATATGTATATATTGGTTTAATAGCAGATATGAATCCGATTGATGCTCCGTAGTAGATCTGATGAATGACTTTTTAGTTTCCTTAATTTAAGAAAAAATAAAAAAATAGCATTGGTTGTAAAATGCAATCCATACTTCTTTTAATAAATTTTGGGCTGCCAATCATTTCCGTTGCTCATAAGGCCCTATGACCTCTTTTCCTTGTTTGATATGTGTATATAAATTGTTGCAGCATTAAGGACTCTCATGAAGGTAGCATTAGGCATTCACGTGAATTATCCCGCTCGACAAGAAGCTTTGGTGCAAGTTTCCGTTCTGAGAAATCTATAATCAGATTCGGTGGTGATGAACCCGAGATTACGAGACCTGTGCACATCTCTTCAAAACGACTGTACTCTATGGTGGGACCTGACTGGCCTTATGTAGTTGTTGGCACTATTTGTGCATTCATTGTTGGGGCACAGATGCCACTTTTTGCTCTGGGTGTCACTCAAGCTCTTGTATCTTACTACATGGACTGGGACACAACATGTCGCGAAATTGGAAAAATTGCATTCCTCTTCTGTGGTGGTGCTGTTATAACTGTGATTGTTCATGCTATTACACATATGTGTTTTGGGATCGTGGGAGAACGGCTTACACTTCGTGTTAGAGAAAAGATGTTTACGGGTGAGGCTAAAGACCATAAATTTATCAAGCAGTTCTAAGCTCCTTTTGAATTCTTGAGAATTAAATTATTATGGAATACGATTTTTCCATTTTTTTTCTTTCCATATATATATATATTTGTAAAATATCGTCTCATCCTAGTAGCTAGATCAAGAGTTGAATTGTGATTTAACCCCTGCAATTTATTACAAATTTGATCCAAACTATTATTTCTTCACTTCCTTTCATCAAATAGGATTACTGCTTACAACTCATATTTGTTAGCAGGATTAACACCAATCCCTTAAAATAAAAAAGTTGGGTAATTCTCTTTACAACCCTGAAAAAAGGAAATGTATAGATCAGCGAAGCTTGCAAAATAAATAAATAGCTAACACCACTTGTTTTCTTAAAGAAACATGTGTTTCTGGCTCTACATATGTCAAGAAGTAAACAACACGTATCGATCCACTTAATTTCAGATTCGCTTAAGCATGTATGTTTTGATTCATTGCAGCTATGTTGAGGAACGAGATAGGATGGTTTGATGATGTGAACAATACGAGTGCTATGCTTGCATCACAACTAGAAAGAGATGCAAATTTGTTGCGAACTGTGGTGGTTGACCGGTCAACCATCCTATTGGAGAACGTGGGTCTAATTGTCACCTCATTTATCATTACATTCGTCTTGAACTGGAGGCTCACTCTCGTTGTCATTGCCACTTATCCATTTCTAATCAGTGGCCATATCAGTGAGGTACATCTCTCGTATTTGCCCTCTTATATTCTTCCACACTAATGGAAATCCATTTATTATTTATGGTGATCTGTTTTTGTAGAAACTTTTCTTGAAAGGTTATGGCATTGACTTGAACAAAGCATATCTCAAAGCTAACATGCTTGCTGGTGAGGCTGTGAGTAATATCCGAACTGTGGCTGCATTCTGCTCGGAGGAAAAGGTTCTCGATTTATATGCTCGTGAACTCATTGAACCGTCTAATAGCTCATTCAGGCGAGGCCAGGCCGCTGGAATATTTTATGGAGTCTCTCAATTTTTCATCTTCTCATCCTACGGTCTCTCCTTATGGTATGTTGCTTTACAACAATTTTGTCATCCAAATATTATTTGACCAGCTGACTTTTTACTGGCGCTTACATTACAAGTATTGAATTCACCAAGTAGTTAAATTTATGAATATGTAGGTTCTGAATTGTGCACCCTACACAATAATTAAGTTAGTAGACATATGACAAATAACTAGATGACAAATAACTAGTATTCTAGTATTATAAGTTATTTGTATGCATATAATATTAAAATTATAAGTTAGATAATGATATTATATTTTAAACATAGAGTACTATAAGTTATATTTATGCATATAATATTAAAATTATAATTTAGATAATGGTATTATATTTTAATATTTGATCATTGGGTAAAATAAGTAGTACATAACGATTTGGTTGCATATGAATCACTATATTGATTGTATAAAATGTAATAAATAATATAATTTTTGTAATTTTGAGGGACCATGACCAATTAATTAGCTGAAAAATATTAAATTTATTATAGCAATTGCTTTTGCGATTTTAAGGAATTTTACTATGACATTAAAAAAAATTAATTTATATAAAAAACAATCGCTTAATCAGATAAAAAAATATAATATTAATTTTAGATAAAATATCTTGAACAAAAAGTTTTTACCATATAACTTTTTATGTTCATGTAACTTAAATATATTATTTAGTGTAAAATATAATTATTAATTTTAATAATAATTATTATATGATACAATAAAAATATTATTATTACTCAATTAATATAAAATGTAACGATTTTTGTCTTAATTAACCCAAAAACCAAAAACAAAGTGCAAGAAATATTTTAACATTAATGGGATGGTGTGGATTAATATTTTAACATTAATGGATTGTAACGGTTATTGGAGGGAAAATGCCACATTGGTAAGATTTATTAGGTTTTATTTAATGAATTGCAGTGCACATCACAGGACTCATTGATAGTTTCGTGATTTGATATGTAAAAATTCTAATATAACAAACGGTTTATTAGTGGGAAATTAGAAGTTAGTTTGATGATATATAATATATGCCACATGGGACTGGTTACTTTGTTTGATGGCAAAATAATAGGACCACTGACACTCATTTTGCACCCAAATTCTTGTCAGGTATGGTTCTACTCTCATGGAAAAGGAGCTTGCTGGCTTTAAATCAGTGATGAAATCGTTTATGGTATTAATCATAACAGCATTTGCCATGGGTGATGCACTAGGCATGGCACCCGATCTTCTAAAGGGTAACCAAATGGTGGCATCTGTATTTGAAGTGCTCGACCGTAAGACCGAGATATTAAATGATGCCGGTGAAGAAGTTTCGAGAGTAGAAGGGTCTATCGAACTCAAGGATGTTGAATTTAGCTACCCCTCGAGACCAAATGTGCTGATTTTCAAAGACTTTAATGTAAAAGTGCATGCAGGAAGGAGTATTGCATTAGTAGGGCAAAGTGGTTCTGGAAAAAGCTCTGTCATTTCCCTAATACTCAGATTCTACGATCCTACTTCAGGCAGAGTAATGATTGATGGTGAGCATTTCCGATGCTAATTTTTAGTTTGGGATAAATTTTAATTTTAATCAGAAATATTATCTTTGAGGTTTTGCCTAAATCACAGGAAAAACACTCTGCCAACTACGAGTGTTACGAAAAAGCATTCTTAAGGCCGCATTCGTTTTACATATTGTAAATGCAGTTATTAGTGTTGCTAGCAGAATTACTAGTATCACTAAAAAAATTTCTCCAATATGTCTTTCGCTTTATAAATATTCCAAACGATCATTTATCTAAATGTAAACTTGCATCCCGTCATTTATTCGAGTATTAAAAATGGTTACATGGAAAACTAGGATTATTTTTAATACTTCAAGAAGTTGGGTGTAATTGTCATCCATTTGGCAAGATGTACTTTTTGTAATTTTTCAAACTTAACTGAGTGCATCTCTTTTCCTTTTTGTGTTTCAATCCCCCAAAACTCAATATTCCTTTCATTGGCTATTGGCTCATGATCATGTGACAAAAATACTGCAGGAAAAGACATAAAGAGTCTCAAGCTAAAATCGCTCAGAAAGCACATAGGTCTCGTGCAACAGGAGCCAGCTCTGTTTGCCACATCTATCTACGAAAACATTCTTTACGGCAAAGAAGGAGCCACAGAAGGCGAAATAATCGAAGCAGCTAAGCTTGCAAACGCGCATAGCTTCATAAGTGCCCTTCCCGAGGGCTACTCAACAAAAGTCGGAGAACGTGGAGTCCAGCTGTCGGGCGGCCAGAAGCAAAGAGTAGCCATTGCACGTGCCATTTTGAAAAACCCTTCAATCTTGCTTTTGGACGAGGCCACAAGTGCTCTTGATGTGGAATCTGAGCGTGTCGTGCAGCAAGCTCTCGACAGGTTGATGAAGAATAGGACAACAGTTGTGGTGGCCCACAGGCTATCGACCATTAAAAATGCAGATCAAATATCCGTTTTGCAAGATGGGAAGATTATAGAGCAAGGGACTCATTCTACTCTTTCGGAGAACAAAAACGGTGCGTATTATAATCTGATTAATCTGCAGAGGCAACATCAACACTAACTTTGACAACTTTTTTTATGTGTTTTATATAACTGCTATCTTTTTCTCTCTTTTCAACTATGTATCTACTGCATGTATCTCGGCATTTTTATTGTTAGGCTCGGAAAATCGTGTTTGGAACCGAAAAAATTGTATTTGATGTTTTGTAGTAATTGGGAGTTTTTGCTTTTTGTTGTGATGCATCATTAGGAAAAAGTTTCTTGAGAGTTACGGGTGACATATCTCACGTGTTCGTATTTTAGTTGTGTTTTTGTGTCATCTGTTTTATTTGATCGTAAGTATGTCATTAAGTTTAACTTTATCTATTTTATTTTGTGTTTTTTGTTGTGTTGTGGGGTTTTGTGCTCATCATGTCATTTGTTTTTATAAGGGTTAATTGCCTTAAAAATCACCACCTTTTGTTAAATTGCAAAAAAAACTCAACCTTTTCATTTTAGCAAAAAAAAATACAAACCTTGTTTAATTTTTGCAATTGTGTCTCGAACATAATTTCCGGCCAAAACTTAATGACGTGGCGATCGGAAAAATGACATGGCACACCAACTCAATACTTCATGTCACGTCATCGGACACCTTTTTACACTTCACACTCGATCTGGCGCAGCGACCTCGCGAACGCAGATAAGAGAACGGCGCAGTTGACCTCCCTCAGAACTTGACTGCCTCGGACAAATTCTCGTCGATTAGACTCTCGGTCAGAGACCTAACAACTTCGTATTTTTTCGAGCTCACCGGAATTTTGCTCATTATCAGCAGCAGCTGCGACAGAGCCCTGGAAACTTCGGAATCTCTGCCGGCGGCGGAGGCGTAGAGGTCTCTTTTTTGCCGATTTTGGAGGTTAATTGGCCGATTCTTTGCGGTCAGGGGTCAAAGAGGAGAATAGAAAGGGCAAAAGGCTGAGGGAGAAGAGGAAAAAGGAGGCGAGGATGGAGCGTAGGGTTTGGAACAGCGCGTATTTTGGCGCTAAGTGGATCGGAGGAGGGATTTGTCGACATGGATGAAGATTGAGGTTAGCAGATTTCTCAAAAACAGAGGAGCTGTGCAAGGTTTTTCCATTATCAAATTCATCACAGAATATGAACTCAAAAAAAAAAGAAAAAAAAAAAGATTAGTGAAAAAACCATTTACCCATTCTCCATTTAGGGTTATGTGGCTCGAACAACCTTCACCAATCAAGATCTGGAGAATCGCTGGAGGTCAAACCATGAATTCGCACTACTCGAATTGCTGGAGCGGAGAAGAAGGGAGAAGAAATCGCTGGATGGAAGAAGAAAGGAGAAGAAATCGGTAGGAGAAGAAATCGCCTCGTTCCTTTTTCTTTTCTCTGTGATGCGGCGTAAGAATGGTGAGGGAGGAAAAGAGCCGATCTATATTAGGTGGAAGGTGACTTGGATCATGTGTGAGGTGGAAGGTGCCATGTCATTTTTCCCATCGCCACGTCATTAAATTTTGGTCGGAAATTATGTTCGAGACACAATTGCAAAAATTAAACAAGGTTTGTATTTTTTTTGCTAAAATGAAAAAGTTGAGTTTTTTTCGCAATTTAACAAAAGGTGGTGATTTTTAATGCAATTAACCCTTTTTATAATCATATTTTTCTAATCAGTATTATGTGTCATGTCAAGGTTAACTGGACTATGTATCTCTGTGTATCTAACTATCTGTTGTGTTTCTTATGAATTGCGTGGTGTTTGAACGCTTTTCATGTTAAGTGCATGTACGCAGGTAAACCGTATAAACTTATTAATTTATTAATTAAAGCAAAACATGTATTAATTTATTAGTGTGTTTTACGTTTTCTTTTGGTCTTCTGCATCAAATTCTATACTAGATAAGGCTCATTAAGAAATAGTCCACCTGATTGCATATTCGAAAGTGAAATGGAAACGAGCGAAAAAATTTATAACTAATAAGATTCAATCCAAAAATGAAAAAACATTGTATTGTTTTGATGATTTCGCAAATATGTATGTGTAGTAGGTTAGATTTCCATTTACTTTTATTTAGAAGTAAGATGATGTTATGAAAGAAGACGATAGAAATATGATAGTACAAATGATAGGTTTGATTCTAGCAAGTCAATCACCAAAAGACGACGGTTGTTGATGCGCTAAGAACTGTTGTAAAAGGATTCAACAAAACACTAGAAAAACAAACTATTCGAAAAAATGATGACCTCTCAATAGAAGATAACAACTGATTGTTAGGAGCATTAACGCCTCGCCTGTATTAGCAACGAACAAGGAAAAACTATCTTCCGCATTTAGTATTTCAGGTGGTAATAGGTAGTATTAGAGAGTCATTTGACGCAAAAGTCTGCATCAAGAGTCGATCATATATGACGAGTTGAAATGCCACGAACAAGTATGGAGTAGTTGAGGTATCTCGACAGCTACACTGAACACTACTCGAGTGTGTATAAATAGGTCTAACATGAACAAAAGAACAAACAATCCATATTACAAATCAATTGCGCCTACAAGATCAAATGCTTTTGAAATTGTTATCTTACGAATCTTTAGTCATAGGCAAAATCGCATTTTATGTCCTGTAACTAGGGGTGTGTGGCAAATGAGGACAACTTCTTTTTGGTTTGGCAAAAATGCCCTGAAACTTGTTAAAAACTGAAATTCGTGCCCAATTTGGGCACAAATTTCGAATTTTAACAAGTTAATGTCCTGTTTTGCCACACGAAAAATCCGATCAAATCCGATAACTTGTAGGTAAATTGCGCACAAATTCCGGGTTTTAACAAGTTTCAGGGCACTTTTGCCAAACCAAAAAGAAGCTGTCTACATTTGCCACACATGCATAGTTACAGGGCACAAAATGCAATTTTGCCTTAGTCATAAGCCATCACACGCTAAACTTGTACTTCAAAGTTTGAACATGTTGTTTAGTTGATTATCGATGTATTAATAAATTATTACATCGAGCGTTTGAGATGCCTAGTTGAAAAGTTGAGGACTTACTGATGGAGACGAGAATGCGTGGGCCTTTTTGGACAAACATAATTGTCTAGCATCATTAATTTAATTTTTTATTTCTTTTATTTTATTATTTGCATATTAGATTTGGTGCATGTGGGCATTATTAATATTTATCCTATTCATTTTCTTGTTAGGCAAGTTAGGGCTTTTAGGAGTTCCATTTAAATGACACATCTCTTATTGTTCTAGCGGGTTGATTTTAATTGAATAAAATATATTCGAGGGTTTTTTCTCAATTTTTCTTGCGTTTACGCTTTCGCTATCAGGTGGTATCAACAAACCGGTATGATTCCTACACGATGTTGCTCAAACAGAACGATGTTGCAGATGACATGCGCGACGTTACGGCGCCAAGTCGTTGATCATCTGACCGCGAGGCTCGAGGATATGAGACTAGCATTCCATGTCGCTGTCACCGACGAGCACCACCACGGGTGCGGGATTGACGCTGCGCGCGGTGTGTGCAGAGGAGGCCAAGGAGGTCGCGACGTCGCCTTCTGGCTATGGGAACGACGAACTAGAAGAAACAATCTCCTGCGACAATCCGTTCAGGGATTTCGACGCGCATGAGGCGGCGTGGGGGGATGACGACCGATGGTGGGAGGCGAGTTTCTGGGTCAATATTCTCGAGCTCTCAGGTCGTCGACCTGCCGATTTTTTAGATTGGCTGTACGGGGTCGAGAATGTGTTCGATTTAAGGAGGTGTCGGAGGCTCGTCGGGTTGCGTTGGTCTCGACCCGACTACGTGGACGTGCGATCGACTGGTGGCAGTAGTTCAAATTGGCTAGACAACGGCAAGGTAAGCCGCAAAATGCGACATGAGCGAAATTTCGAAAGCATGTGGAGCGTGAATTTTTGCCCTATAATTATATATGTCCGCACGCTTTACCAACGGTTACAAAATCTTCGTCAAGGGACACGCTCAGTTAGTGATTACACGGAGGAATTTTATCAGCTTCTCACGCGCGTTGATGGGTGCAAAATCACGGATCAACTGGTGTCGTGGTATATTGACGGCTTACGTGTCCCCATTCAAGACACGTTGAATATGTTTGTGCCTGACTCCATCTTGGACACGCATCAGTGGGCGCTTTCGGTTGAGCAACAATTGGCACGACGAGCATTGACGTCATTCGCACCCACTGCGAGGACAGTCGCGGGGTCCTCGGCGACTTCAGCCTTTAGTCGAGCAGCAACTCCGGGAGACGCACCAGGCGCGCGGCCAGATGGTGCGCTGCTCTGCTTTGCGTGTCGAGCCACCGTCAAGCGGCATGTTCGAAGGCAGTCGGGTCTCGAGCTCTTTTTGCGGATGAAAATGAGTCGCTCGATTATATATTTGACGAAGAGCCATTTCTGGAGGAGGAACACGTGTTCGGCAATGTCGGTCCGACACTTGTTCTTCGACGTTCGCGTTTATCACCGTGTTCATTGTCCGGCGACGCCATTCAGTGCTACCATATGTTTGAGTTTACTTGCACTGTGAGCGCACGAGTTTGTCGCTTTATTATCGACTCCGGGCCATGCGAGAATGTGGTGGCTTTAGAGGCCGTTGTAAGCTTCATCTGGCATGTGAGCCTCATCCTCAGCCTTATACACTTGCTTGGATTCCGCGGGGCAATTCCGTTACGATGGATCGTCGCATTTTGGTCTCTTTTTCTATCGGTGCCAACTGCCAAGTATAAGGATGTAGCGTGGTGCCTATAGACGCATGCAATCTTTTCTTAGGGCGCCCGTGGCAGTTCGATTGCTTGATGGTGCATGATGTTCGCCTTAATACCTGCGACTTTCTTTTTGATGGCGTCAGTGTTGTTTCTCATCCTTCGCCGCCTCGGTCGTTGACTACGCCGGCAGGCCCGACACCATCTCCAAAGTTGCACCGAACACTACTCGAGTGTGTGTATAAATAAGACCGACTTGAACTAAGGAATTACAAATCAATTGTGCTTAGAAGATCAAAATTATTCTTTCAAAAATTGTTATCTTACAAATCTTTAGTCACAAGTCAATAACACACTAAACTTGTACTTCATAGTTTGAACATATTGTTTAGTTGATTATGGATCTTAAATTTTGTGTTAAGAAAATGTTACGTTGAGTGTTTGAGATGGCTAGTTAAAAAGTTGAGGACCAGTACCAATGTAGGTGAGTCTGACACTAAATTATACTATTCACAATCTCAAAAATATTTGATTCTTAATTACTCCATACAGAAAATGTTATGCAAAATATTCTTCCACAATATTTTCATTCCTCTTGTAGAAATCATTTGGAATAAACATTTCCACATCCAATCCCCCTACTTCTGTTGCACTTGCTAGGTTCATTTAGTCATGTCCTTGGAGTGATTTCATTAGAATTAATTTTTCCCTAGGCGGTTGTATATTGTTATTGTTTTTAATGTCCAGCTTGACCCTACTGCTGGGAAGTAGTTGTAACATTAATTCCAACACTTCAACTGTCTGCAGAAAGCTGGAAAAAGAAGATACACTCAACACATTACACACACACATGCACACACACACACAACTCTCTCTCTCTCTCTCTCTCTTTCTCTCTTCAATGCTCACCGCCAAACCAGCTTGTTTTTTTCCCACTTATTTACTAAATGCACATCCACCCCCCACCACCAGAAAAAAAATAAGTGTCTTTGACTGAATAATTATTGGAAATGAGCCACCAATATTCTACGGCGGCTTCGAAAGTGGACGATGAGAAAAACGAGAAATCATTGAACGAAGGTAAGAAAAATAATGATGGAACAAAGAAAGTTGGGATGGGGAAGCTTTTCGCCTTTGCCGATGGCTACGACTATTTCTTGATGTTTGTTGGGTCAATAGGCGCGTGTGTTCACGGCGCTTCAGTTCCCGTTTTCTTCATCTTCTTCGGCAAGCTCATCAACATTATAGGCTTGGCCTATCTTTTCCCTAAGGAAGCTTCTCATAAAGTTGCATTGGTATATTAATATTATGTCATATATACAAACACGTACACTTAGTCACTTAAGTTATGTTCAAATATTTTTATTTATTTATTTTGCGAAATTAACATGTGATGGAAATTTTGATTTGCAGTATTCGTTGGATTTTGTGTATCTGAGCCTAGTCATAATGGTCTCCTCATGGACAGGTGACAAAAATAAAAGAGATTATATGATACTATATATTATTTTCAACAACATGTTACATGTGTGACACATTTTGGTTTATATTGTATATGAATTTGAAATTATTTTAATAATGATGATTAGTGATTTATTAATTGATGATTAAATTAATAATTTTAGAGGTAGCTTGTTGGATGCACTCTGGGGAAAGACAAGCCGCAAAGATGAGAATGGCATATTTGAGGTCAATGCTAAATCAAGATATTAGCATTTTTGACACTGAGGCTTCTACTGGTGAGGTCATTTCTGCAATTACCAGTGATATTATTGTGGTGCAGGATGCAATTTCTGAAAAGGTGACCCCTCTCATTTAATTAAAAATTTTCACTTAAAAATAAAGAGAAAGAAAATCCTCTAAGTCTGTTCATGATAATCCAGTCATAATTGAAAAGTTTTATAATGATCATAATTGAAAAGTTTTATAATGATCAAAGTTGTCATGTGGTAGTGTTATCTGTACAACAAAATTGCATATTTGTACATTTATTGTTACCCTGAACTAAAAATATTAAGTTTATTGTTACCCTGAATTAACTCATAAGGAATTTTCTGTTGATTCCTATCTGGATGTCAATTTTTTATAAATAGATGTTCAGTTACATACATACCAAATTTATTATATGACAGACTTAATATGTTCGCCAATTGAACTGATGCAAAAGAAAATTAGCATATATCATTACATCCTAAATATAGTATTTATATATACAGTAAAACATAAATCAAATTCTTGTGTGATGTAATAAAATTGTAAACAAATATGCATAAATGTGGTGAATGGATAAATAATTACAGCAGCTTTAGCTTGTAACCTATAAATGGGTAGTAAATGCAAAAGTGTGACTTAATTTGCATTTATTTTTGGTTTGGTGAGATGGTTGGGGCAGCTGGGAGTTCTGTTAAGTCTCTTATTTATATTTGTATCATTTTCATGTGGTTAACTATGAATGGGCAAGCTAATAATAAGCTTGATTTTAAATAATTTTGTCTCTTCATTTGGCAATCAATCCATTTTGTACAATCTTTCCATATTAAGTTTTTCCATAGATGTTTTGTTAGGCAGCTTTAATCAACAATGTTTCTTGCAATAATGTCTATTTACACTATTAACTGTTATATCTTTATTTATTTATGTTGTATATTAAAGTGTAATATTTGAATACATAAATTTATTAAGAGAGTTTGAGTGTATGTGGCAGCTTTAATTCAAATGCAAAATAATATTATTTGGTATGTAATTCATGTTGTGTGGTGTCACAACGTATGACAAATCCCACAAGAAATGTAGTTGGAAATTAAAAATGGTGACCTTATGGCAATGACACATCAACTAAAACTCAATTGTTTGTTAGCTTCACTCGCTTTCGTGTTAGAGTTATACTCATCAACTTGTATATTATATTATATATATATATATGTTACATTTAAATTTAATCGGGTCATGTACGCCATACTATTTTATCCAATAAAATTGGAGAAAATTGAAATTTTAGTCAAGGAAGTTAAGGTTGTTCTCATTTTAGTCCAGTAACTTGGGCCGATCTAAAATTAGTCCAAAAACTTCCAAAATGTAGTTAAATTAGTCCAATTCCGATCCCCGTCGCCGGAATCCGAATTGCCAACTCAGCACATTCCGATTGGATTCCGGCGACGGGGACCGGAATTGGACTAATTTAACTACATTTTAGAAGTTTTTGGACCAATTTTGGATCGGTCCAAATTACTGGACTGAAGTGGGAAACAGTCTAAGTTATTGGACTAAAATTGCAATTTTCTCATAAAATTGTATATGGAGAGCAATATTTGATGTAGAGTACAAATATTGTTCTTAAATTTGGGCCGGGTTGGGGTTGGCCTTGAACTCGGGCCCCCACACAATTAAGATATATTGCTGGATTTAACCGGATTGGCTCAGCTAGATTAATGATTGGATTTCATTAATATTGAGTCATTGACAATTAAGTTGTCTTCAATGCTAATTTTTTGAATAACTTTTGACAAAAATGAAAAGTCCCAAAAGCATCTCTCGATAAATGCGTAATTTTTCTAATACATGTGTGTGGCTCATAATTTTATTTGTGGATCATTGTGTTTCGTGTAGTATTTTATACATATAGATATAAAATTTATACTGGGTCTATTAAATATTTTAAACTATAAAATAATTGACTTACTTAAATTTTTAATATATATTTAGATTTAACTACTCTCATATTATTACCTCAAATAGATGTTAAGGCGCGATTTGGTATAACTAAAATTGGTTTTCATTGCATTTATTAGTTTAAATGGTTAATTTTTGTATGAATAAAATTGATTGAGTGAAGGATGAAGTAGATCTTTTTAATTTGCACTATAATAATATTTAAAATGTAATTAAAAAAATTGATATGACTTACAAAATTAAAAGAAAAGTTATTGAAAATGATATGTAATTAAAAATATGTGAGTGTGTGAATATTAAATTAAAATTGATGTGATATATGCAGATGATTGATTGATATTATTTGATAATATTGAAGAAAATAAATTGAATTAAATTTGAGTTGAATTTTGAGGTGAGAAATATAAAAAATTTAGCAGATAAGTCAAAATAAGTTAATATTTTATAGCAAATCGTGCCCTAATAAGTGTATAAGTTTGGTAGAAAAATTTTAAAAAAAAAATCACATAATTTAGTTGGTTAATTGTAATTTCTGATTTTATTTATAATAAATTTAGCATTATATTATTTGTTGGGCCCTTTTTGAAATCCTCCGACTTTGATCCAAGCTTCCTGTGTCAATGGCTATGGCAGGTGGGCAACTTCTTGCATTACATAAGCCGCTTCGTATCAGGTTTCGCCATAGGGTTTATCAGAGTTTGGCAAATCAGCTTGGTCACGCTCTCCATTGTGCCGTTGATTGCTCTTGCCGGCGGCATTTACGCTTATGTAGCCACAGGCCTTATCGCCAGGGTCCGAAAATCATACGTCAAAGCCGGAGAAATTGCCGAGGAGGTAAATTTTGTCCAACCTCTACATAATTTTGCTTTGAATTTGATCTCGATGTGGTTTTATTTATCGCTCGTCTACTGATTCTTGGATTTTGTTCTGTATCAAATTGCTTGTGGGCGGAGGATTTTGGTTGGCTGGTAGTTTCTAATCATGTTTTTAGGGATTTATAGTTATATGATGCTGCTGAGTTTCTAAAAAATTATAGGTGTTGGTTATGTTGCCAATTTCAGGTGATAGGTAATGTGAGAACAGTGCAAGCATTTGCAGGGGAAGAGAAGGCAGTCAAATTGTACACAACGTCTCTGTTAAACACTTATAAATATGGGAAGAAAGCAGGACTGGCTAAGGGTCTTGGACTCGGAACCTTGCATTGTGTTCTTTTCCTCTCGTGGTCGTTGCTCGTATGGTTCACCAGCATTGTTGTCCATAAGAATATTGCCAATGGAGGAGAGTCGTTTACCACGATGCTCAATGTTGTTATTGCTGGCTTGTAAGCTTTACTAGTCCCTTTCTTTATATCATAACATGCTACATATGGAGGTTGGGTGGAAATACATATCATGAAACAATTGGTCTGGAATGTAGAACTATTTAAAGGTTTTTGAGTAAAAAACAGTTGGGTCTAGTTACTGATTAGAATTTAGAGGATTATTTTCCGTCCTTGTAGCACCTGTTCCATACATTTCTAGTATAGTATAAACACATACTAACCTGCAGAAATGCTCCAAAGCTTGATTAATATTGAAATTTTAAGTATTAATGAAACTTATCTATATGTAAAATTAACCATCTTCTTGTATATGTATATATTGGTTGAAGTTTAGATGATAAAACATTACTTGCTTCAGTAACCCGTACCAATGGAGGTGGCACCAAGCTGCCTCCGTATTACACTCTTTCTTTCGGATGCAAATTGATGTTTTGTACTATTGCATTTGTCGGCATGTCAACTGGATCATCCATACCAATGATATTGGATCAACTTCTCTCTATATGCACATTGTCTCACGCATTTCTGGACTTCATCGAAAAAGTTATTGTATTTATATAGTGTGCCCCTCATCAATTGACCATGAAAGTTTTGTGTTTCTGTAAGGTCACTTGGGCAAGCCGCACCAGACATTACAGCATTCATTCGAGCAAAGGCAGCTGCATACCCCATTTTTCAGATGATCGAAAGGAACACAATCAGTAAAACCAGTTCAGAAAAGGGCTGGAGACTGAGTAAAGTAGATGGTCACATCAAGTTCGAGAATGTTACATTCAGCTATCCATCCCGACCTGATGTGCTGATATTCAACAAGCTCTGTCTCGATATTCCTCCCGGAAAAATAGTAGCACTTGTTGGAGGAAGTGGTTCAGGGAAAAGTACAGTTATCTCTCTCATAGAACGTTTCTATGAGCCGCTATCCGGACATATTCTGTTAGATGGAACTGATATAAGAGAGCTTGATCTCAAGTGGTTCAGGCAGCAGATAGGGTTGGTGAACCAAGAGCCCGCCCTATTTGCTACCACCATCAGGGACAATATTCTGTATGGGAAAAATGATGCCACCACTGAAGAAATCACGAGGGCAGCAAAACTTTCAGAGGCAATCAACTTTATCAGTAACCTTCCTGATAGATTCGAAACTCAGGTACTTATTCCTATAACTGTGGGAAAGATGGTCAGATAATATTTCCCTACTAACTTATCTTCTGGGAAATAATTAATGTACACTGCACAGGTTGGGGAGAGAGGAATACAGTTGTCTGGAGGACAGAAACAAAGGATTGCAATATCGCGTGCGATAGTTAAAAACCCGTCAATCTTGTTATTGGATGAGGCTACAAGTGCACTTGATGCTGAGTCGGAAAAGAGTGTGCAAGAGGCTCTCGACCGTGTAATGGTAGGGAGAACAACTGTTATCGTGGCCCATCGTCTTTCCACAATTAGAAATGCGGACGTGATAGCTGTCGTCCAAAATGGGGCCATAGTAGAAACCGGAAGCCATGAAGAGCTCATGTCAAGGCCAAACAGTGCATATGCTTCACTTGTTCAACTCCAAGAAGCTGCTTCTCTGCATCGTCTGCCATCTCACGGCCCTGCGATGGGTCGGCCACTAAGGTTTGACCTTATATTCCACAAGTGCTCGGTTGTCTTAAAACTACTGATAAATTTGCTTTTTTTCTTTTGTTGAATAATTTAGCTATGATTAGTCGTTGAAATTCACTAGGATTAATTTCTCTATAAGTTAGAAGGGCTTACGTTAGTGACTGGTCCCAGGAAAATTGTAGGATGCTGGAAGATAAAGCAATTATTTTGGATTAAAAGGAGTGAATCGAGCAAAAGTATAATTTTTGTCATGCCATTGTAGTGTATTTATATCACAGTCAGGAATTGATACCTGTTATTGCTTTTGTTTGATCTCTTTGTCATTTAAGAATACCATTTATAAAAATGCTTGAATCAAGGAACACTACTACTATATTCACCACAGTTCCTAACACAATTATGACATGATTGATATGATGAATCGACTTTGATAGGAATGAAATGATTATGGGAATAAAACAAGTTTTTTCCATTGATGTGTTTGGTATGTTAAAGGAATAAAATCTGAAAGGAATGATATTCCATATTATCAGTATATTATCAAAAATATAATTTCAAAATTATAATAATGTTATTTTCTAAGTTAAGTTAATAGTAATATTACTTTTCTTTTGAAAAATTATATTATGTTTTAAATGAATAGTTTTATTGTTACACTCATCTTATATTTATTATATATGGTCATATATAATTACTTATAGTTTAATTCCCTTTATTAATATATATATATATATATATATATGTATATAATTCCTTATATATATGAATATAAACAAAAAATAAGATTTTTCTAAAAGTTATTTATAAATGAATTTTTCTATAAATTTTATTTTTATATTAATATATTATTTTTATATTAATATATCGGAGAAAATATGCATAATAAATAAAAATAAAATTATTCTTTATTATTTTTTATTGTTTAAAATAATTTTAAATATAATTTAATCATGATTAATATTACAATTTACATATTTATTTTTATTGTTATATTTAGTCTTATTTTTCAAAAAACCAAAATTTAAAGATATGGGAATGAGTAAACCCTTGTATTAGCAATGGAACGACCAATTTCACTAAGCCCATGGAGATTGGTTTTGCAATTCCCATTGGAATGGTCATTCCTTCCCAAAAAGTATACCAATTATAGGATTAGGAATAGCAAGGGAATGATCATCCCATTCCCTTGCCATTCCATCATACTAATCATGCCATTAGATCACTTGCAATAAATTACTTTGCTCATTGCAAGTCCTCTATTATGAGAATGAATGTGCTAAAGATTAATTAGTACCTAATGATAAATTATAAATGTCGCAATCCCTTTGTATGTATAGTGTTTCACTAGTATGTGATGGTTTTGTGTGTGTGTGATTTTTTCTTTGTGTAGCAGATTGATGCTCCGAACTGGCTCTCATGAATGGCTTTCTAGTTCCTTTATTTCCCTCTTCTTTAAGTTAGTTTTGGCCATAATTTGTGATCCATGTTTTTTCTTATTTGAAATGTAATCTTTTCCATTCATCATAGTATTGAATGAACTTTTCCCTAGTTTGATATGTGTAAATAAATTGGTGCAGCATTAAGTACTCTCGTGAAGGTAGCATTAGGTATTCACGTGAATTATCCCGCACAACAAGAAGTTTTGGTGCAAGTTTTCGTTCTGAGAAATCTGTAAGTAGATTCGGTGGTGATGGAGCCGAGATTATGAGACCAGTGCACATCTCCTCAAAAAGACTGTACTCTATGGTGCGACCTGACTGGTTTTATGGGTTTTTTGGCACAATTTGTGCGTTCATTGCTGGAGCACAAATGCCACTTTTTGCACTTGGTGTCACTCAAGCTCTTGTATCTTACTACATGGACTGGGACACAACACGTCGGGAAGTTAGGAAAATTGCATTCCTCTTCTGTGGTGGCGCTGTTATTACTGTCATTGTCCATGCTATTACACACACGTGTTTTGGGATCATGGGAGAACGGCTTACTCTTCGTGTTCGAGAAAAGATGTTTACTGGTGAGGTTAAAGACCATAAATTTATCAAGCAGTTCGAAACTCTTCTGGAATTCTTAATTTAACTAAATTATTATGGAATTCGATTTTTACATTTCTTTCTATCCGTATACGATTTTTTAACTAACTTCTTATCCTTGTAGCTAGATAAGATTTGGATTGAGATCCAACCTAACGTATATTGATCCTATATTTTTTTTTTCACTTTCTTTCATACCTACTGCTTACTGCTCATATTTGTTGGCAGACAATTAACCAAATCCCTTAAAAAAAAGGACAATTGCCTTTGCAACCATGAAAAGGAAATAATATAGATCTGCTAAGCTCACAAAATAAATTAATGCTTAGTACACTTGTTTGCTTAAAGAAACTTGTGTTTTTGGCCCTAAATATGCCAATCAAATAAACATGTATTTGTCCTCTTTAGTACAAATTTACTAATGCATATTAGTTTTGTTGCAGCCATGTTGAGAAACGAGATAGGATGGTTTGATGATGTCAACAATACGAGTGCTATGCTTGCATCACAACTAGAAAGTGATGCAACTTTGTTGCGCACGGTGGTTGTTGATCGATCGACCATACTATTACAAAATGTGGGTCTAATTGTGACCTCGTTTATCATTGCATTCATCTTGAACTGGAGACTCACTCTCGTTGTCATTGCCACTTATCCATTAATAATCAGTGGCCATATCAGTGAGGTACATCTCTCATATTCCCTCTTATCTTTAGAAATAAGAAAAATTCATATCTTAATTTTGGTGATCTGCTTCTGTGTGGTGTTTTTGCAGAAACTTTTCATGAAAGGTTATGGCATTGACTTGAACAAAGCATATCTCAAAGCTAACATGCTTGCTGGTGAGGCTGTGAGTAACATCCGAACAGTGGCAGCATTCTGCTCAGAGGAAAAGGTTCTTGATTTATATGCCCGCGAACTCATTGAACCATCTAACAGCTCATTCAGGCGGGGCCAGGCTGCAGGAATATTTTATGGGGTCTCTCAATTTTTCATTTTCTCGTCCTACGGTCTCGCCTTATGGTATGTTGCTTTACACCAAATTTTTTAAGATCATTTACCAAAAGTAAATTGGGCAGCTGAGTTCTTACTAGGCCATTGTATTTAGAATATTGATAACTCTAATCATAATTTTAAAATAGGAAAATACTAGGAAGTTCTGTCTATGACGTTTGTGTACTTCACAGGACTCATTGATAGTTCCGTTACTTGATCTGAAAATTTCTTAATAAGACAGATGGTTTTATAAGTGGGAATTATTGTAAGTTTGATCGATGATGCGTATGCATCATAGGACTTGTTAATTTATTTGGTGGCAAAAATATTGGACCATGAAAACTCATTTTTTACCAAAATTTTCAAAGGTATGGTTCTACTCTCATGGCAAGGGAGCTCGCTGGCTTTAAATCAGTTATGAAGTCGTTTATGGTACTGATAGTGACAGCCTTAGCCATGGGTGAGACGCTAGCCATGGCACCTGATCTCCTAAAGGGTAACCAAATGGTGGCATCTGTTTTCGAAGTGCTCGACCGCAAGTCTGAGATTTTGAATGATGTTGGTGAAGAAGTTCCAAGGGTAGAAGGGTCTATTGAACTCAAGGATGTTGAGTTTAGCTATCCCTCGAGACCCAATGTGCTGATTTTCAAGGACTTTAATCTAAAAGTGCATGCAGGAAGGAGTATGGCATTAGTAGGCCAAAGTGGTTCTGGAAAAAGCTCTGTAATTTCCTTAATACTCAGATTCTACGATCCTACTTCAGGCAAAGTAATGATTGATGGTGAGTATTCCCGGTGCTATCTTTTGTTTGGGATTGATTTTAAATATAAATTAGAAGTACTATCCTTGAGGTTTGCCCAAATCACAGAACAAACCCACAGCTAACTTTGAATGTTACAGGAAATGATTCTTAAGGTTGCATTAATTTTACATTTTAAATGACTGGTGTAATTAAATATTTTTACTAATACAATCTTTGGCTTTCTAACTTTTCCAAGCAATTATTCCTCTAAATTACACTTACATCCCTCAGTTTTTTTCTACTGACATACGGATACGGTTACAGGAAAAGTTAGGACTAGTTCTTAAACTTTGAAAAGTTGAGGGGTGTAATTGTTTTAGCTGAAGAAAATGGTTGGGGCAAAATGTGCATTACCTTTTTAGAATTGACTGAATTACACTTACATCCCTCAGTATTTTTGTAATCATCTCTTCATCTACTCTTGGGTCATGGTCATGTGACGAAATTATGCAGGGAAAGACATAAGGAGGCTCAAACTTAAGTCACTAAGGAAGCACATAGGTCTCGTTCAACAGGAGCCAGCTCTGTTCGCCACATCTATCTACGAAAACATTCTTTACGGAAAAGAAGGAGCCACAGAAGGCGAAATAATCGAAGCAGCTAAGCTTGCAAACGCGCATAGCTTCATAAGTGCCCTTCCTGAGGGCTACTCAACAAAAGTCGGAGAACGTGGAGTCCAGCTGTCGGGCGGCCAGAAGCAAAGAGTAGCCATTGCACGTGCCATCTTGAAAAACCCTTCGATCTTGCTTTTGGACGAGGCCACAAGTGCTCTTGATGTGGAATCTGAGCGTGTCGTGCAGCAAGCTCTTGACAGGTTGATGAAGAATAGGACAACAGTCATGGTAGCCCACAGGCTATCGACCATTAAAAACGCAGATCAAATATCCGTTTTGCAAGATGGGAAGATTATAGAGCAAGGTACTCATTCTACTCTTATAGAGAACAAAGAGGGCGCGTATTATAAGCTGATTAATCTACAGAGGCAACATCAACACTGACTTTGACGACAACTGTGTGTTTTATATAAATACTGATTTTTTTTTTTACCCACCTCTTTTTCAACATATCTAGCTGACAATGCATGCATCTCATCATTTTTTCTTGTTGGGCTTGGAGTATATGATGATTAGATTGGATTCCAGAAAATGTTGTACTTTTACTGTGGTAATTATGGCCTGTTTGCTCCATGTTTTTAACCGTGGTATCAACATACACTAACATGGGTACTTGTGAGACTGTGTGATCCCACTGATAAAAATTCATCTGTTGGGGCAACCAATTTTCCTTCAGATATCTGTGTTATAGTGAGTTTGTAGTATTAGGAGAAGTTTGCTGAGAATGTTGAGTCAACTACATATCTCTATTGTATATATAATGCTTATGAAAAAATGTACTTAAACGAAATTTTTTTACATAATAGATGACGTAAATGATGTAAAGTGTAGGAATTGTTGATTTTAAAGTAGATGTGATGTGTAAAAGTACACGATTTTGTCACATATCCCTTACGAAATATTTAATTAAAATAAGAATTTACAATAATCTAACTACATTCCCATACATTCCCTAGATCTAATGGAATAGCATATTATGAATTAGGGAAACAAGTTATTGTGTAAGGGACACACAAATCCGTAAAAATCAATGTTATCAAAACTGGACCGGACCGGTCGGTTCGACTGGTTCGACCGGGAACCGGACCTAGTACCGGTCCGGTTTGAGTGTTTAAACCGCTGGGAACAAGAACCGATTTCGAACCGTTTGAACCGGTTCAAAACCGGTAAAACCGGTGAACCGGTACCGGTTCGACTGGTCAAACCGGTTCTGAAATTTGAAAAAAAAAATCTTAATGAAATAAAAAAAAAAATCAAACAAAAGGAAAAGAGTGAGAGAGTATTTTGATGTTTGATGAATTGTAATGTTAGATTGGATATATTTTGATGTTTGATGACTTTGTAGTTTGTATTTGTAATTTGGATTACTTTGCTTTAGATATTGAATTATTAATCTATTGTTTTAGTGAACTTAATTTAGTATTGCTTATGGTAAACTATACTTAAAATATTAATTTATCAACTCTTATTTAGAAAAATATCATTATATGCTATAAAATTAATGATAAAAAGTATATATATATATAATTATATATTATACATATAAAATAAATAAATAAATTGTATATTAGTTAAACCGGTTCGACCACTGGTCCGACCAGTGAACCATTGAACCAGTAACTTCACCGGTTCGATGACCGGTCCAGTTTTGATAACATTGATAAAAATACGCTAATAAATAAACACATTCCCTAATCTAATGCGAAAGAATATTATGAGTTAGGAAAAGGGGTTAATCTAATGCAATAGAATATTATGAGTTAGGAAAAGAGAATATTATGAGTTAGGAAAAGAGGTTAATCTAATGCAATAGAATATTATGAGTTAGGAAAAAAGGTTAGATTATGAGGGAGACACAAACACGTAAAAATCAAACAATAAATACAAAATTAAGATGTATCTTGTCGACCTATAGTTATTTAAGCCTGACATGTACATTACACTCATGTCTATTTAAATATTTATAGATAGATTGACGATTTTATTCCCTCCCATATATATTCCGGTGCCTTGTATCAGCAAAATTATAAGGATTATTCCTTTCATAGAGCACAAACTTGTTTAATTAATTTAATAATAATAATAAAAAAGAATCAAGCAGGAATAAAGAATATCTTATCCATCCATTTTCCATAAAAGGCAACTTGAAAATGGATGTCCATATCTTCTTTGACTTCTTTTTTATGTTGCATTAGCCATCAAATCATCCATCAATTTGAAAGTGAAAGTATTGCAGCTCAATACTTCAATAGGCATTGTCGGATTTAAGAATTTCACTCAGGGGGACTTGATTTTAAATGTTAAATAACGAGTTTGTAGTTTATGTCGAAATGCTCTTTTCATATAAAAATGTGTTTACCTCATTAATATGGTTAAATTCCAAGTTACAAGCATCTAAGAGTCTTTGATTGTCAATGTTTTCCTCACTTAAGACCATAT